ACTGAGTGGTCTTAAAAAAACCGCAAAACTGCCAAACTCAATAAAGCATATTCCTAGCTGTTGTTAGGCACTGTCAAGTCGAGTACGACTCAGCGACCCTATCTGTACTCTGTCCTCCTCTGTGTCATCCTCATCATTTCTGACACACTCGATCACATTGCTTTAGTCACTGTGTTCATCCACCTGGTTGATGGTCTAGAAGAAGACCTTCGCCATCCCTCTACCTTTCCAAGCTTGATGTCCTTCTCCAGGAACAACCTCTCCTAGCACCACGACTGAAGTATGTGAGATAAAGCTGTGTTATCCTAGCCTCCAAGGAGCAATCTGCCTGTACCTTCTCCAAGACTTACCTGTTTGCTCTTTTGGCAGTCCATGGCATATTCAGTACTCTTCTCTAACACCACAGTTCAAAGGCATCAATTTTTCATCTGTCATTCTTATTATTGTCCAGTTCTCAGATGCATAGCCAGTGATTTCGAAAAGACCATGGTCTGAGTAAGGTGCACACTAGTCCTCAGACTAACATTACTGCTCCTTAGTAATTTGGAGAGGTTCTTGACTGCAGACTTTACCAGGCAACACATTTCCTTATCTCCGGACTGCTGGTACCAAGTATTGATTATGGAACCAAATAAGATGGAGTCCTTGGCAGTTTCTGTCTTTACTCCATTTATTATGATATTGTCTATCTTTCCAGTGGTGAGAATTTTTGTTTTCTTGACATTGAGATGTAATTCATATTGAAGGGTACAGTGCTTGCTCTTCTGCAACAAGTGCTTCAAGTCCTCTTCACTTTCAATAAGCAAGCTTTTGTCACCTGCATACCAAAGTTTACTGATAAGTCTTCTTCTAATCCCGTTGCTATATTATTCATAGAGTTCAGCTTCTTGAATTATTTGCTCAGCGTACAGACTGAATAAATATGGAGAAAGGAAAGCACCCTGATGCATGTCTTTCTTAATTTGAAATCATGTCTTGTTCCCTCGTTCTGTTTGCACAACAGCTTCTTCTTTCCTAGTTGATATATGGGAAAATGATTTTAAAGAAATAAAAATGCCTGTTGTTCAACTAGCACTTTTACCATTCGATTCACTGAGTTAAAACAACCAAAAGTTAATTACCATATACTGTTAAAATGCAAAAGAGAAAAATTTCAGATTCTTTGATTGTGAACAACTCAGAAACTAAAAGATACCACTGCTGCATCTCTATTTCATTTTCCTATAAAAATAACTTCTATTTTTATGACCATATTTATCAGAAAAAGTCAGTACTGGATAGGGCAGTACTAATCTGAATAACCATGGAATCATAGGAGTTCTAGTGAAACTAATCTGGAAAGTGGTTTTTCCTATTTGAATCATGAACACATTAGTAAGACAGGCTCAGGACAGGGCAGGGCAGGGTTCAGAGCTATGGTACATAGGGTCGCTTTGGGTCTCAGGAGACTCAACAGTATGTAGCAACACCAAGAAGAAGAAAAAAGTTAAACGCAAGTAAAGTATACAGGTCAAAACACAGAAAGCTTACAAGACAAATATTAGAAAAATGAACTACAATGGAGGCATTTTTATAAGGCAATTATAAAAAAATAAATAAACAAACACATGTATCTTTAAAATACAGAACTCAGAATACTTTCTATTTTTAGGATAATCTACAATGTCCAGCTATATTGCTTCCTAAAGGTTTGTAGATACCATAATAATTTCTATAATTTTTTAAATTATTATAGCAAAAATGTTCTCAACTGTGAAAAATTAAAAGCAATTCTTTGACCTTTAAAAAGAAAATGAAGAATTTGTTTATTATCACATGAAAATAGGGAATTTTATTCTTCCACACTACAAGTGTGATTTTTATCAGTGAAATATATGGCCGCAGATAGAATTTTTGAAAACCAGGACACTGAAGATCAGCTTATCTCTTTCAAGCAGAAAATGTAAGTGGAAAAATTCCATTTTGTACATCTTAGGCACGTATACAGCAGAGGACGATCACGTTTAAACCGGCCACCTTCCCAGGAGTCAAAAATCTATGGCCTATGAATGGAATTTGGTCGAGGGACCATCTATACATGGGCCCAAGCTAAGAACGATTTTTACTTAAATGAGTTGTTAAAAAAACGAAAACAAAAACGACCCAAGAAAGTTCACTTAAGAAAAAGTGACAGAGACCATATGTGGTCTGCAAAGCTTAAAATATTTATGATCTGGCTCTTTACAGAAAAAGTTTGCATACCCCTGACTTATACTAATGTTGTACAGAAATCAGGCGGTGCAATTTTAAGTCCCAGGCAATGTTCATTTTTTTTTTCGCCCCCCATGAGTCACCAGATTCTTTTTTTCTTGTTTCTTCAACTCCATCAAAGTTCATCCTTTGTAAAAGGTAGTCAAGAGAGAAAGGAATAAATATGAGTTCATGATATAAAACACAGTAATAGAATAAAAATGAATCAATTATTACTTGTTAAAAAATATTATCATTTAAGGAATCAATATGTGACATACACCTTGCTTACTATAGTAACAGGTACAGAACTGACAGCTCAGTTTTTATCTGTCCTCTCTAACGACTAGTCTTCAAACTATTATATAACTTCAAATACCTATATTCAATACCTTCACATGCTCTTTAACTTATTGTTAGTTATCAAATTCTAATTTAAGACTGGGGAGCTCTGGTGGCCTAGTGAGGTAGGAAGTTATGCAGCCAACCTAAAGCCTTGAGGTTCAAATCTACCAGATGCTCCAAGGGAGGAAGACGAGCAATCCCCTTGTGTAATTTAAGGCCTCAGGGATGCATCCTGTCTCCATACCTTTTCAACATGTATGCAGAGCAGATTATCCAAGAAGCTGGGCTCTATGAGGAGAATTGTGGCATCAGGATTGGTGGAAGATCTATTAACAATCTGCGTTATGCAGATGACACAACCCTGCTTGATGAAACTGAGGAGGACCTCATGCACTTGCTGCGAACGGTCAAAGACTACAGCCTTCAGTATGGACTGAGGCTCAATGTCAAGAAGACAAAGATTCTCACCACTGGACCAATTGGCAGCGTCGGGATGGATGGCGAAGAGATTGAGATTGTTCACAGCTTCAGTTTGCTCGGCTCCACAGTCAACACTCTTGGCACCAGCAGTCAGGAAATCAAAAAGCGTATCGCGATGGGAAAGTCTGCTGTTAGGGACCTCTCTAAAGTACTCAGGAGCAACAGTGTCTCTCTGGAGACTAAGGTGCGCCTGATACAGGCCATGCTATTTGCAATTGCTTGTTATGCATCAGAGAGTTGGACAATGACTAGGGAGGACAGAAGGAGAGTTGATACTTTTGAGCTGTGGTGCTGGAGAAGGGTACTGAATGTACCCTGGACTGCCAGGAAAACAAACAGATTTATCTTGGAGAGGATTAAACCAAGCTACTCCTTGGAGGCAAGGATTCTGGGGCTTCGTCTGACATACTTTGGACATGTTGCCAGGAGGGACGGGTCCTTGGAGAGGGACATCATGCTTGGGAGGGTGGAGGGACAGCGCAGGAGGGGAAGACCCTCTATGAAATGAATTGATTCGGTGACTGGGGTAATAGGGATGGGTGTGTCAGAGGCAGTGCGGTTGGCGCAGGATAGAGCAGGGTTTAGGGCTGTTGTGCATAGGGTCGCTATGAGTCGAAAATGACTCGATGGCACATAACAACAACAACAACAACAACAAAGATCCTTTTGAGGATTAGTTATGAGTTGGTTTGCACTCAATAGCAATGAAAGTTATAATGCGTGCTGCTGAGTGGGAAATGACTCATAGCTAATCCTTCGGTGGATGTTCAGAGGCAGTATATCACACGGCAGGGGACTGCTTAGCTTTCTCCATTGGAGCAATTTGAACCACGTACCTTTCAGTTGGCAGTGCAACTTCTTAACCACTAGGCTAACATAGCTCTTTTAACTGATAATAGAGTCTATTTGAAATGTTGAGCATGAGATAAAAGTCACAAACTGCAAAAATAACTTGAGGAACAGAATTAAAACATTGGGAGGAACTTTTTTTTATTTTTATGAAAACAAAGAAAATATAGATTCATGCCTATCTCTTCCCTATCCTTTAGATTTGGTTACATTATTATTCTCAAAATATATATTAGGGTCTGCAGTACTAGGATCCATTAAATTAAAAAACCAAACTAACTGCTATCAGATTGATTTGACTCTTGGGAACTCTCGGATCACATTTCTGAGGCTATGAATCCTAATGGGAGGAGACTGCCCACTTTTCTCCGAAGAAGTGGCTAGTGAATCAAACCATTGAACCTTTCCATTAACAGAATAGTGTTAGAGGAAAACTTGTATTCTTCTGTGGTATTATGAAGCCAGATTCCTCTAGTTCTTTCTAGAAGCTGGGTTGGTGCTTTTTTTTTTGTTTCTCTCCTGCTTTATGGGAAAGAAATCCAAGTACCACATTCATGATTGTTTTAAATGCCATTTCGAAAGCATTCCAATATTCATGCACCCTTCATTCTAAGTAATGCCCTGGAATTACACTAATTTAAAAGAATGAAAAACGAATTACCTGTGTTAAGGTGGACAGAGGTTATGAGGTTTCCCTAAGTTTACTCACAATAATTGAATGCTTTATTCATATTAAGGGATTTCTGGTAGGGCAGTACATAGAGTTGTGCTGTTAACCCATTGAGTTTACTGCCTTGTAAACTCAATGAAGGGTCAGCGATGAGTCAGGAACTTATTGATGGCAATGAGTGTAATGAGTTACTTAAATTTAGTTAAGTGTAAATAACGAGTGGCCATAGTCACTAATTCTTTTGTTTTTTTTGTTATATGGCTTTATTTGTCCAAATTTTGACGCATTTCAGTATCTACAGATGGTATTTTGTATGTCTTACTGTCCAAAGCACAAATTTTTAAGCATTATTTCTAACATATGTAATGAACAGTAAGACTAAAATTTGATTAACTGTTACTTAAGTTTGCTCAACCATAGTCCTTACCTTGGTTCTCTTCCTTTGATTTTGTAGCGTTTCCAGTTTTTTAAATATTAAGGCAGCAATCTCTTTTGCATCTCTGACATCTATTTGCTCTCCCCAAGTATTTTTCTAAAATGAAAAACATTTATAATTGTTTAAGTACTTTTCAAAGCATGCCATTTCTATCTAGTTATGGCATTAAGTGTGCCTTAAATAATCTTTATGCGCCAAAAATTCAAGTGTCTGTAATGAAAATTTTGTCAAAGAAATAAGTAATGCTGTATAAACAACTTACTCATAATGCACCTGAATAATAATAGTGTTAATGAAATAAATGACAAAATTCCTTAGGAAAAACACAATTCTAATTCAGAATGCCTCAAAGCATCTATTTTAGTATGTTCTGAGGGAACTTAAATCACATTAATACAATCACTGGCATTGACAAGAACCTGCACAACTCTTAACTACAACAATGGAAAAGGATATATAATATTTCTTAGTTCTAACTTGGCCACAGCATGGAGGTACATGAAAGGCTGAGGAAGGACACAGATTAATATATCCAGACCATTTATTCTGAATTTGGAACCCTCTATTTCTTCCTTATGCCTGCTGTGAACCTTGACTTCAAACTCTATGTTAAGATTTTACTGTGTGTTAACCCTCAGTCTTGTTTGTATTTCTGACTTGCAACAGTTTATTTCAATCTTTGTTCAGTTTTTGTCTTCATCATTTCTTGTCTTTAAGTCAGGAGGGGGCATTCTGAGCCCTAATTCTGTCCTCAGGGTGTATGGATCATCTCACATGCACTGGTTAATTTATTAAATGTTCACTATAATGACCCATTTCTAACATCATTCTACCTCAAAAAGACCCAATATTTGCAACACTCATTTCTCAGCTGTTCCGTGAAATCAGAAAATTAAGACTCAGTCTCTGACACAAATATTTTTTACCCCTAATTTCTGTCTATCCAGACAGTTCCTGAGATAGTATTTTAACAAGAATCTCTTGAATCACAAGAATATCACTGAAAATTTGAGATGTCTGGCATCGGGTTGATATCTAATTTCTTTATACTGTTCTATTTAAAAATGTGTTGTAGGTACCTCATTAATATCAGATCTTAACTTGATTTTTCTCATAAAGTATGTGGTATACTAAACTTACAATATATTACTAGAAAACAAAATTAACATCGCAAGTACTTATTTAGTTTAATATAAATTCTCTCTGACCTATGTGGTTTTAAGGCATTGGTTTAGTTGTTGACGTATAAAAAATGATACTTCCTATCAAAGGCTGATATTTTGGCACCTCTGAAAAAAAAGGGAGGAGCTAATGAGTCCTTGCTATTTTACTGGGCAATGGGCAATCACTTGTGACTTCTAGATACAGGTGTTTGTGAGTCCACACTCTAACTCTTTCTCTCACACAAAGGACTGTATCTCACTCTTAGATCCTGGCTTACTTTAATTTAAGAAACAAACAAAAAACCCCACACACATCTTTCCTTTTAAGGCTGTGGCTCTTAATAGCAAGAGGAAAACAGTTCTTTCCATCACCCTAATCACGTTTAAAAATCGCCCACAGACACTTGAGGCAAAAACAAGGAACGAGGCTACCACAGGAACTGAGTAAAGGAGGAAGGGTAAGTATAGAGGCTGTTAAGTTTATAAACAGTTGATGGGCACAGGTAGGAGGAAGGGGAGGAAGTTGAGGTGGTTTGGTTTCAAGCTTTTTTATTTTCTTGATAGATTGGAACTGATATGGATGAGGGGTGCTGCTTCAAAATGAAGCTCAACCACACCCCTGGCCCAATGCCCCTGGACAGATACCTACAGACATAGATCCCTCTGTCTCACACAGGAACACAAAATACAATCACAAAAAAAGAGACCACCAAGCTGGCATTTAACATGTACTTGTATCTTCATGTAATGCTAGAGCTGGGGGGTTCTTATACTTGATATAAACCAAACTCTGCCTCACAAATTAGTGAACTACAGTCCACAGAGGTGGCTTCTTCAAAGTCACACAATGAAGAGACTAAACACCAGCTCTCCTGGGTCTCCTATTGCTTTCATTATACTTTGGTTCTGCTTTAAGACTCATGGTATTTATAAGGGGTAAGCTTGAAGTTTGAAATGGTAATGTGCCAATCATACAAAAAACCCTATCACTCATATGCTAAGGATGTAAAATTCACACTCATGCGCGTGGGCGCGCGCGCGCGCACACACACACACACACACACACACACACGTCTGTATAAACAGATTTTTATTTTATTTTTTAGTTTTTTAAGTTATGGGAGAGGAAAATAACCAAATGTAAGAGAAAAAGTAATTCCTTCTCAAATAAGTAAACCACCCAATACACCAAAAAAATCTTCAACTACAAGTAAGCCAACAAATTAAAAAATAATCTGATGTTATTCTCTGGGGTGGAAAAGAAGTTGTTAACTATTTTTCCTTTTCTTTCTCTCTCTGCCTTTCTTTTTCTATCTCTATTTTTTGAAGAGAAGTGGCAGAGTCTTTTAAAAGTATTATGATGGTGTTCTTTTAAATTTTTCTCTTCACGGGGAAAAAAATAATTATGGAAGTTTTACATGTTAATTTTATAAAAAGTAAGAAATACAATACCTCACAGAAAAGAAATTACTTTGGATTCCAGCACCCATGGCAACACACCATTAATCTTTTACTGTATCTTTTTCTAGCATTTTTCCTATTCAAGTATAAAATTTTAAGACAATGAAGATCTTAACAACTGTGAGATGACAAAAAACATAATATTCCTATTATACGCTATAATCCAAATATGGCAAACAGAAATCAGAAAAAAAGGCAAATCTTTTGAGCATGGCATGCTAAAGGAGAGGAACAGAGAAGAAAATGTGTATGTACCTTCGTTTTTTCATAGGGGTAAAATTTAACAGTTGGATAGGCTCGGATACCAGCTTTCTGGCAGGTCTGAGAATAAGCCTGACAGTCTACTTTTCCGGCTTTCACTTTTCCTTTGACCATCTGAAAAGGAAAGCATATAGTTATAATTTCCTTAGGTATAAATTATTTTGCAAACTTACAATGCTAATATGATACTAAAAATTTCAAATCTTTATAAATCTTATAAATCAAGGACTTGTTGGGTACCATCGAGTTAGAATCAACTCACAACTCAACCTTCAGTGGGTTTTCAGAGGCAGTAAATCACACAGAGGATACTGCCCATCTTTTTCTCACAGGGTAAGTGGTAGACTTGAACTACATACCATTGGGCCAAACCATTTCAATCTATATGCAGAATAGACTATTCAGCAGGCTGGGCTATATGAGGAGAAATGTAGCACCAGGATTGGAAGTAGACTCATCAACAATCTGTGTTACGCAGACAACACAACCCTGCTTGATGAAACTGAGGAGGACCTGAAGTGTTTGCTACAGAAGGTCAAGGACTGCAGGCTTCAGTATGGACTGAAGCTCAACAACAAGAAAACAAAGATTCTCACCACTGGGCCGACTGACAGCACCATGACAGATGGTGAAGAAATTGCTGACAGCTTCAGTATGCTTGGCTCCACAATCAACACTTTTGGTACCAGCAGCCAGGAAATTAAAAGACAAATTTCACTGGGAAGGTCTGTTGTCAGAGAATTCTCCAAAGTACTGAAGAGCAACGATGTCAGTCTGGAGACTAAAATTGTGCGCCTGATACAGGCCACGGTTTTTGCAATTATTTGCTATGCATCAGAAAGCTAGACAATGATTAGTTGGTCAAGAAAATGGAGAGGTCTCATACTGAACTATTTCAACTTCCTCCTGTTGCCTGTAGGTTTACCCATCACACCAACAAGTAACTGCTGTCCACATTCTTCCTTCTTTCTTGGGTCTCACTTGCTGAGGTAGCATTTTGTCTTTCAGAAAGTGAAATCCTGAAAATCCTACATTCCACAGTCCTTCCCTGTGATTTTTCTGAAGTGGAAATTAGTTCCTATGCTGAATAGGGAGCTCTGGTGGCCTGGTGGTAAGAAAGTAGACTACAGTCCCAAAGGCATATGGTTCAAATCCACCAGCTGCTCTGTGGGATTGATGCCTCTGAAAACCCACTGGAGGGTCAGCCATGGGTTGGTTCTGACTTGAAGGCACACAACAGCAGCAACATGCTGAATAGGTTTCGGCAGAGCTTCCAGGCTAACATATACCAAGAAGCTTGGTGATCTACTTATAACAACCAGTCACTGACAACTTTTGATCACAATGATCTTGGTCTAGTGTACTGGTTGCCATAAACTGGGGGACCAACCTGACAGCAGCTAACAATAACCACAATGCTTCTGAGAATACATTCTGAACAGTACACGATCACTGAGGTACAGTTTGTAGTATGGATGGTGTGTGTGTGTGAGGGGAACAAACCACCTTTCCCTTCGTCCAACATCTGAGCCTCACCTTTGCTATTCTCCTTCGATACTTATATTCTGGAAAACGAACTACGAGATCTTAAACATTCCTTGCTCTCTCAAGTGTATGTTCCTTGGAAAATACTGTCTTTTTCTGTTTGGTGGGTTCTCTTGTCAACCATTCTAACTACTAAGCTACTAGTTGTATTGGAATTCTCATTTCAAATACTAACCATTCTTTGGAACCTCTAGCATGAATGACATTGTTTTCTCAGGTCTCTGCTTCACCCTAATTTCACTACAGCAATTGCCATGTACTATATGTATTTAATGCATATTTTATCTTTTAACTAAATAAATCTCCTTGAAGGCATGGTACTTTTGTCTTTGTAGCCTTATGAAGTGCTCTGACTTGGTGATTACAATATAGCTGATGAGTGGGTTTTTCCCCCCCAGTATTTTTTTTTCAATATTCAAGATATAGCTGCATTACAAAATACATAAGCAAGCTAAGTTTTCAATATATGAGGGATGAGATGAGATTATAAAACATTTAAGAACTACTGGCATAAAGAAAGGTGTAAGAAGAAAAATAAGAAACGGAAAGAAAGAATAACCTCTTAAAAATCAGTCAATGATGATAACAATCTTCTGTGGCTTACAGGAATTTGAATTCCTTTAGTGAAAAGTTCCCACAGCCTGGAATTCCAAACTAAACACAAGAGTAACAGAACTGGTATAACTCATACATTCTGATGATTCTCTGTACAGCAAAGAGTTTCCTGAGCATGGAGGTGAGGAAGTTATGGATCTGGATTCATAAGTCTGCTGTGACAGTAAAAAAAAAAACCCAAAACTCTACGTTCAGTTTAATTTCACAAGTATTTACTGAGTTAGCCACTGGGAATATAAAGATAATGAATGATACGTTGACTTTGACGTCAAGAGGAGCAGTTTTGGGGCGCTGGCTGAAAATCGCCTGTGACTTCATCCATAGCCACTGGTGAGAGTCAGC